AAAAACTATGGAAAAGTGCAGGATGTAGTTTAGATGTCTTTTCATCTGGGGCATAGCATCCGCGGAAAATCCTGCCAGCCATAGCAGGCAAGTTTGAACTCAGGCCTACAGACGGAGATGCAAGGAACTCCTTGCTCTGCGTCCTTGCCTGGAAGAAGGTAGCCTTGAACTGCACCTCTGAAGTCGGTTTGAACCGCACCTCTGAAGCAGGTTTGAACCGCACCTCTGAAGCAGGTTTCAATCCAGGACAAGGATTCTTGCCTGTGAGCTGCCTGGATTTTCATTTTTTTCAGGTGGGCACCCATCTTCACTGAATAGAACGTTCGGTCATTATAGGTGTATTTTGGGCACAGCTTTCAGTCCAGATACAACGATAATGGCCATACGGTCTATTCTGGGAAAGACGGTAGAGCACGTATGATCTCTGGGTCGTACACAGCAATGGACACCAGCTGTGGATCCATCTGGTAAGGCACCATAACCTGGCAGTCCACCAGAGAGGATCCAAACCAGTTCCAGATGGATGGACGGTTAAGATTGTAACAGAGCTTTCAGCTAAGCTTGCAATTAGTGTTGGGGGGCCAGTATGTGGTGATGTCATGCCATGTTTTGCTGCCAGCCATGTAGACATGCTGGACATGAAACCAAGATGCAAAGAAGTGGGCGTCCAGTCTCCTTGTATTTATATTTAAGGAGGCTGCCATTGTTCTCTTGCTGATTAATCACTAATAATTTAGCAGTACGGGACTTCTTTGGATGAGCTGTACAAGCTTGAACTTTCTGTTGACAGGTGAAGGTTGTTGCGCTCTGGGTTACCTGTTTGTCACTGGTCATTCTATGGCTACGTATTTGAAACTTTTGATTTCACATTTGTGTGTGGGAGAAAGGGGGGCGGGAGGAATCACAAACTGCAGTAGGGTTTTGAATCTGATGCAATCAGACTTGTCTTCTTTCTTTACTTAGCATGCATGAAACAGATGGCAATCACACTGGCGACAAGCGCACACCAAACTCAGAGAAATGGTGGCCAAGAACACAGTTCAGATTCATCTTGCTTCGAAATGGCTATGGCGCCTCCATGTTGTATCCTCAACAACACCCTTCCACATAGTATCATGGCGCCTCCACGTTGTATCCTCAACCACACCCTTCCACGTTGTATCCTCAACCACACCCTTCCACGTTGTATCCTCAACAACACCCTTCCACGTTGTATCCTCAGGAACAGTTTCACACGCACGCTACTCTGGATCTCCCTGGATGTCACACACACGCTCACAACTCACTGCACACTCGTACACAAACACACTGTAGATTATCTCTAACCTAGCACAGCTATGTCTGCTTGCTACCTCTACCACTACTAGCGGCTATGGCCGCTTCGTTTTCCTCGTAGCCCTCTTCTCGCTTGGGCACCTGCAGACCTCTTTGCACAAGTCGATCTGGCAGCACTTCCGCACGGCTCGCAGTCTGAATGAATGAATAACTTGACGCTGCCTCTTCATTTATACTTCTGTTGGTCGTTGGTCTGTTCTTTTCCACCGGGGCCAGGGTGCACACAGTCCCAGATACTTGCTGACTGGACAAGCCGCGACTGGGACTGGGTACCGCTGACTGGACGTGGTAAGTCTCCCCACTTGCCCACTTGCCTACGGACTGCTTCCGAGACTCTCGAAGGGGCAGTCCTAGAAGATTCTAGACTTGCCTACTTGACTCTTCGGTACTGAGCGGCTACGACCCGGGTTGACCCTTCAGTCGTACAGCAGCTACGACCAGACATAAGCTACGACTCCTGTCCTACAGGTAAAGAGCTCGAACCTACTTGTCCCTCGTATGTGCAACAGCCTTAAACAGACTTACTTTTAGGGGCAGGTCATTGGTTCAAACCTAGATGTGCAAACTGTACTGTTCACGGGTTCGGGAGGTCTAGGGATCGAACCCTGGGATCTGCGTGTGCTACCACATAGGTGAAAGCTGTTTCACTCCCGCCGGCCTAAATTCGAGGTCCTCTGAGGATATTTCAGTCCAAGGCAGGACCTTTACCTTTCTTTTCTATCTCATAGGTTCAAACTACATGGGGAGCAGTCTGTAGAAGTTCTGTCCGGGTAAACCAGCGCTCGTCTTCTTGCTCTTGGCAATGCATCGTCAATTACTATGCGGTCAATGTCATACCCTCTGTCCATATCCGGAGGAACCATGGATCTCCTCGATGGGAACTGCTGACTCGTAGTTCAAGGCAACAACTTTGACGCATGAAAAACTGGGTAGGTGTGGAGGTGTCCTGGAATCTCTATCATGTAGGACGGTCCATCCTCTCCGCCCTTGACTTCTAAGACTGGCCATGGGCCTCCATACGCAGGTAACAGTTTCTGCGACATGTTTTCCTCAGGAGCAAACTCTTTAGACTTGACCCAAACTCTATCTAGAACTGTGACGGGCGACTGTGCTTGTTGGCTTGTTCTATCATCTTATGTTGGGCTTGCCTGAGGTTCTTGACAGGTTGCTAGACGAAAAATGTTTTTTTTACGCGCTCGCTACCTTTGGGTGGCATCCCATCCCATTTGACTTGATCAAGTCTAATGTACATGCTGAGAACTTGTTGTAGGATCTTGTTAATCTGTTCAGTCTGACAGTTGGTCTCTGTACCGGACCCGTCCGGATGGCGGTCCGTCAGGATGGAGAAGAAGGGTTGACGAAGGAGGAGGTAGAGATGGAGCTGGAAGGGACAGCGCAACTCCGGTGTAGAAAACACGAACCAACATCCATAACATGAAGATCAGAATCACCATCAAGAAAAAAAAGATATCATGATGTAGGATAGGGGTCAGTGCAGAACGCCTGCCCTCAGAACCACACGTGACAGTTTCCCGTCATGCAGCTCGCCCCCCAAAACCTTAGCCTTGTTTGTGGGCTCGGGAAGGGAAGCTGACAAACAGCTTCGCTTCGCGCCTTCCGACTCTTAATTGTCYGGAATCAATCTCACGTGTAGCTAGAGTATTGATTTCCTGACCTTGCACTGTGCTCAGCAGACGCTTCGCGTCTGATCTGATGCCAGATAAGAAAATCGCAGATATCTGGAATAAGGCTAGAGGTGTGTCTTGTCTAGGCTGAGCACTTCGTGCCTTCTACGGCCTTAGTGAGCAATAGAACAAAATCATCTGCTGACGTACTCCAGGATGTGCAAAAGTGAAGTATGACGAAATACTAACTGCAGCTGGGGTATAACCCCAACGGACTGACTGGACTGGACTGGACTGGATTGGCCTGGTACCGACAGTGGTACCGGGCAGGACTGGACTGGGCTGAAACAGTACACTGCCTGTGGGGTCAGGCCACGGTCTGGTTCCACAGTCTGAACCGGCACATAACCGAAAAGGCCCTGGCTGTAGGCCAGGGCAGATAGAGGCCCACTGCACGATCCTCAAACCTGTAATGGATCGCAAGAGCTATAAACACACTATCCGCAAAAGCAGCGAAACTCTCTAATAAAGAAAGCTGAGAAATCAAGGATGCGGAGCAACTTCCATGCGAAGTCCAT